TTGTGAAGGATTTAGGAGCTGGGAATTTCGGTGTGGCTCGTCTTCTTAGGCACAAAGAGACGAAGGAGCTCGTTGCTATGAAATACATCGAGAGAGGTCGCAAGGTTTGATCTTTTCTTCTCGCTTGGGTTGTTTCTGCTTTAGAACGATTTCAAAGTTTCGTTTTTTTTTTCTGAAATTTCTTTGATGGGTTTAGAAATTTGGAGCTTGTTGTTGTGTTTGATTACAGATAGACGAGAATGTAGCTAGAGAGATTATCAATCACAGATCACTTAGGCATCCAAATATCATCCGATTCAAGGAGGTATTTTTAAGTCTTTGTTGATTTGTGTGTATAATCTTAGTACTACTTAAACAGAGATTATTAAGGTACTTTAAAAAGCTGAGTAATTTCGTGTTGCAGGTGGTTCTGACTCCAACTCATCTTGCTATTGTAATGGAGTATGCTTCTGGAGGAGAGCTCTTTGAAAGAATATGTAATGCTGGTAGATTCAGTGAAGCTGAGGTTTGATTTCTTAACTTGGGTCTTGTTCAGTTTTTCGACATCTTCTTGATCTTTAATGTTTTCGATCGTTCTATATTCTCTCAGGCTAGATACTTCTTTCAGCAGCTGATTTGCGGCGTGGATTACTGTCACTCCTTGGTATTATATTACATACCCAAATCTTATGGAAACTGAAAGGAGAGATCTTTGCTTCATTTTGCATAATGTTTTTTTTATTTTTTCTCTGCAGCAAATATGTCATAGAGATCTCAAGCTTGAGAACACATTGCTTGATGGTAGTCCTGCGCCGCTATTGAAAATCTGTGATTTTGGTTACTCCAAGGTTCATTCATTACTCTCTTTTTCTTCTCTTGTTTCAGTTTTTCTTCACATCATCACTTGGATTGGATCTAATTAGTCATATGTTTCAATCTCTTTGTGTAGTCATCTCTGCTTCACTCTATACCTAAATCAACTGTCGGTACTCCAGCTTACATCGCACCTGAAGTTCTTTCTCGGAGAGAATATGACGGAAAGGTAACATTACTCATGTCTTCATGGGCGTTAACTAATTGGTCTTATCTTTCTTTTTTGTCACTTGTTAATGGAAATACTTGGTGATTGTGTTATGTAGCACGCGGATGTTTGGTCTTGCGGTGTTACTCTTTATGTGATGTTGGTTGGAGGTTATCCGTTTGAAGACCCCGATGATCCGAGGAACTTCAGGAAGACGATCCAAGTATGAACTTAACTCCACTATTCAACTGCTTTTTCTCACCACTTTTAGCTTTCTAAGTGTATTTTGTGAATGTTCTGCAGCGTATAATGGCTGTTCAGTACAAGATCCCGGATTACGTCCACATATCGCAGGAATGCAGACACCTTCTCTCTCGCATATTTGTTACTAATTCAGCTAAGGTGCTTTCTCATGTCTCTGAGTTAAAACCGTTGTGTGAGTTTTCGAATTACTATGTTTCAATCTTTTGATGAAGATGTTATAAATTTATGTAGAGAATCACACTTAAAGAGATCAAGAAGCATCCATGGTTCTTGAAGAACTTGCCAAAGGAGCTTACAGAGCCTGCTCAAGCAGCGTACTACAAGAGAGACAACCAAAGTTTCTCTCGTCAAAGCGTAGAGGACATAATGAAGATCGTAGGAGAAGCAAGGAGTCCAGCTCCATCTTCTAGTGCTGTCAAGGGATTT